TTAGGAGGGGCACCATTCTTCAACCCACCATAGTAGTTTTTATCACATTTAGAAAAATTTTGGACATTCTTTCTTTCTTTTTTGTTTTATTTAATTAATTAATTAATTAATTAATTAATTTTGAGATGGAGCCTTCCTCTGTCACCCAAGCTGGAGTGCAGTGGCACGATCTCGGCTCATTGCAATCTCCCCTTCCCAGGTTCAAGCGATTCTCCTGCCTCGGCCTCCAAGTAGCTGGGACTACAGGTGCCTACCATTACGCCTGGCTAATTTTTATATTTTCAGTAGAAACGGGGTTTCACCATATTGGCCAGGCTGGTGTTGAAGTGACCTTGTGATCCATCCACCTTGGCCTCCCAAAGTGCTGGGATTACAGGCATGAGCCACCATACCAGGTCTGTTTCTCTAAATTTGTCTTATTTGTCCTACTTCTTTATTCCTTCCTTTGGGATTCCAATACATATATGTTAGAGTGCTTGATAATGTCTTACAGATTATGAGGCTCCATAGAGACAGGGTCTTGCTCTGTTGCCCAGGCTGGAGTGCAGTGGTGTGATCATAGCTCACTGCAGCCTCAAACTCCTGGTCTCAAGGGATCCTCCTGCTGCAGCCCCAGAGGAGCTGGGACTACAGCTGCTTGCCACCATGCTCAGCTAATTTAAAAGTGGTTTTTTTTTTCTGTAGAGACAGGGTCTCGCTATATTGCCCAGGCTGGTCTTAAACTCCTGAACTCAAACCAACCTCCCGCCTTGGCCTTCAAAAGTGCTGGGACTATAGAAGCCCAGGCAACTTTATTTTTCAGTACTATTTTTCTCCTCTGTGCTTCAGTTTGGAAAGTTCTATTGCTGTCTTCAAATTCACTGATTTTTAAAGTTGTGCAGTATCTAATCTGCTGTTATTTTCATTCAGTGAAATTTTCATTTCGGTTAATGTACTTGTCATCTTTAGATGGTCCACTGGCTTCTTTTTTATATCTCATTCCTCTCCTCATGAACATCTTTTTCATGTTTTTCTTTAAACTCTTGAGTATATTGAGCCGTCTATCATCTTTATCACTTCTGGGTCTTGTTTCTGTGAAATTATTTTTCTCCTGATTATAGATTATATTTTCTTCTTCTTTTTTTTTTTTTTTTTTTTTTTTTGGAGATGGAGTCTCGCTCCGTCGCCCAGGCTGGAGAGCAGTGGCGCCATCTTGGCTCACTGCAAGCTCCACCTCCCGGGTTCACGCCATTCTCCTGCCTCAGCTTCCCGAGTAGCTGGGACTACAGGTGCCCGCCACCACACCCAGCTAATTTTTTGTATTTTTAGTAGAGACGGTGTTTTACCGTGTTAGCCAGGATGGTCTCGATCTCCTGACCTCATGATCCGCCTGCCTTGGCCTCCTGAAGTGCTGGGATTACAGGCATGAGCCACTGTGCCTGGCTGTATCTAGTAATTTTTAACTGAATGTTGGACATTGTAAATATGATGTTAAGCATCTGGATTTGTTATTGTCCTTTAAAGAGTGTTGGGCTTTGTTCAGGCAGACTAGGTAAATTACTTGCAAATCAGCTTGACCTTTTTGAGGCTTTTTTTTTTTTTTTTTTTTTGAGACAGAGTCTTCCTCTGTCACCCAGGCTTGAGTGCAGTGGCCCAATCTCAGCTCATTGCAGCCTCAACCTCCTGGGCTTAAGGGATCCTCCTGCCTCAGTCACTGAGTAGCTGAGGCTACAGGCACATGCTACTATACCTGGCTAATTTTTTGTATTTTTTGTAGACACGGGGTTTTGCTGTGTTGCCCAGGTTGGTCTTGAACTCCTAGGCTCAAGTGATCTGCCTGCCTCAGCCTCCCAAAGTGCTGGGATTAGAGGCATGAGCCACCATGCCTGGCCTTCGATGCTAATTTTTCTTTTCTTTTTCTTTTTCTTTTTTTTTTGAGATGAAATCTTGCTCTGTCACCAAGGCCAGAGTACAGTGGTGCAATCTCGGCTCACCGCAACCTTCACCTCCTGGGTTCAAGTGATTCTCATGCCTTTGCCTCCTGAGTAGCTGGGATTACAGGCATCCATCACCACACCTGGCTAATTTTTTGTATTTTTAGTAGAGATGGGGTTTCGCCATTTGGGCCAGGCTGGTCTTGAACTCCTGACCCCAGGTGAGCTGCCCGCCTCCGCCTCCCAAAGTGCTGGGATTACAGGCATGAGCCACTGCACCCAGCCTGAGGCTAATTTTTAACTTGTTAGGGTGGGTCTAGGTGAGCCTTTTCTCTAGGGATAGTTTAGCTCTACTACTAAGGCATAACCCTTCCGGGGTCTGATTAAATATACTTCTGCATTCTAGGAGGCTGGAGCTTGATTATCTCCCTGCCATTGGTGAGCTCTGAGAATTTACCATTTTATTGCTCCTTTTTGCATGGTATTACTGAGTTTCACTATACATATGTGTAGTTTAGTATCCAGCAAAACTCGAAGAGACCCCTGTGTGGATTTCTGGAATTTTTTGAGTAGTTTACTCCTTTCCAGAACTGTGCTCTGCTGCAACTTTTAGTACTTTGGCTTCCCTGAACTCCTGTCTCCATCTTCTTAACCCAGGAAGAGCACCATGCTCTGCTCCGGCTTCCCCTCCTTGAATTACAATCTGGAATGTTCCTCGAGGCAGAAATCCAGGGATGTTACAGAGCTCAGCTTTTTCATTTTCCTTATTTCAAGGATCACAGTTCTGGACTTCTAAAAACAGTTATTTCTCTTTACATATATTTTCTATATAGAAAGTGTGTGTGTGTGTGTGTGTGTGTGTGTGTGTGTGTATTTGAGACAGGGTCTCACTCTGTTACCCAGCCTGGAGTGCAGAGGTGTGATGATACCTCACTGCAGCCTCAACCTCCCAAGCTTAAGCGATCCTCCCACCGAGTAGCTCTGAGTAGCTGAAACTACAGGCACAGGCCATCATACCCGGCTAATTGTTTTGTATTTTTTGTAGAGATGGGGTTTTGCCATGTTGCCCAGGCTGATCTCTAACTCCTGTGCTCAAGCAATCCTCCAACCTTTGCCTCCCAAAGTGCTGGGATTACAGGGGTGAGCCACTGTGTCCGGCCTTCATATATTTTGCAGCAATAATTTTCTCATTGTTTATGGTGGGAGAGTAATTTCATTTATTATGATAGAAGTCGAAGCCTTTTTATTAGCATTTTAATCAAGTTTTGAGGAAGAGAGGAGGGAGTTACATGCATGTGGTCAGTACACTGTTCTTTTTTTTGGAGATGGAATTATGCTCTTGTCGCCCAGGCTGGAGTGCAATGGCATGATCTCGGCTCACTGCAACCTCCGCCTCCCGGGTTCAAGCGATTCTCCTGCCTGCCTCAGCCTCCTGATTAGTTGGGATTACAGGCACCATGTCTGGCTAATTTTGTATTTTTAGTAGAGATGGGATATCTCCATGTTGGTCAGGCTGGTCTCGAACTCCCGACCTCAGGTGATCCACCCGCCTCAGCCTCCCAAAGTGCTGGGATTATAGACGTGAGCCACCGCGTCGCCTGTCAGTTCACTGTTCTTAAGTAGAAGTCCTAGACTCTTGAAATATACTTAAATACTTACGTTTAAGGCCGGGCGCGGTGGCTCACGCCTGTAATCTCAACACTTTGGGAGGCCAAGGCAGGCGAATCATTTGAGGTTAGGAGTTGGAGACCAGCCTTGGCAACATATCAAAACCCCGTCTCTACTAAAAATACAAAAATTAACCTGGTATAGTGGCGCCCGCCTGTAATCCCAGCTACTAGGAAGGCTGAGGCATGAGAATCGCTTGAACCTGGGAGGTGGAAGTTGCAGTGTGCCAAGATCGCACCACTGTACTCTAGCCTGGGTGACACAGTGAGACACTGTCTCAAAAAACAAACAAACAAACAAACAAACAAAACTTATGTTTAACAAACATGCCTTCTAAGCCAGGTGCAGAAGCCTGTAATCCCAGCTGCTTGGGAGGCTGAAACACGAGGATTGCTCAAGCCTAAGAGTTTGAGACCGGCCTGGGCGACATAGTGAGACCCTGTCTCAATTTAAAAAAAAAAAAAAAGAAGAAGATTTTGTCTGGGCGCTGTGGCTCACACCTGTAATCCCAGCACTTTGGGAGCCCGAGCCAGGTGGATCACCTGAGGTCAGGAGTTCAAGACTAGCCTGGCCAACATGGTGAAAACCCATCTCTACTAAAAATACAAAATATTAGCCAGACGTGGTGGCGAATGTCTGTAATCCCAGCTACTCGGAAGGTTGAAGCAGGAGAATCGCTTGAACCCAGGAGACAGAGGTTGCAGTGAGTGGAGATCGTGCCATTTACTCCAGCCTAGCCAACAGTGAGACTCCATCTCAAAACACACACACACACACACACACCCACCCAAAACAAAGCTTTTATCACTTTTATCACACAACAAAAATCTCATGCGATGTAATCATGTTATTCACAAAACTATAGGATTTGCACAAATTTTAATGCATAGTGTCCCACATGCACATGACCTGGTTGTGAAATTGTATGAATACCGTGGACTTGTTGTTTCATTCCTGTCTATTACTATAACTGTTTGTTAAACCTCACTCAATGATAATGTCAGTGATCTAAATTGGTAGCCCTTCCTGAAGGTGGTTTGGGACCCCTAGGGTAGGTCTGGTCCCAGGTGAGCTCCTTGGCCAACAGCCTCTTTGCCACCCCACTTCAGTCCCAGGCTTATTCTTGGCAGGCAGGCCACTGGGCCTTGCAGGAGAGGACCCAACCAGGGGCCCTTGGTGGACAGGAAGGGAGGGAAGGCCCTCCCCCTTCCAGAGTTACTTTCTGTCCTGTCGTCTAAGCCCGTTTGCATCCACCTGACCCCAGCTCATAGTGTCTGTCTTTCCGTTGCCTTGTGAGGTTGGCGAGGCAGAGCAGCCCCAGCAGGGGGTGGGGGTTGCTGTCTGTTCCAGGGCTGTCGGGCTCCTGAGGGATGTCTCTGAAGTGACTGGGGCTATATCTTCCACTCCCTCCTCCTCCAGGTGGACATCGAGCAGCTGGATCCCCGCGGCCGGACTCCCCTGCACCTGGCCACCACGCTGGGGCACCTTGAGTGTGCCCGTGTGCTCCTGGCGCACGGCGCAGACGTGGGCAGGGAGAATCGCAGCGGCTGGACAGGTGTGCAGCCCTGCTCACCCCAGCCCCACAGCCGGGGCCTCCCCAGCATCATAGACCTATGGTTGGCTGAAGGATCCTGCCCTGTGACCTTGCCTCCCCCTCCCCCAGTGCTCCAGGAGGCTGTGAGTACGCGGGATCTGGAGCTGGTGCAGCTGGTGCTGCGGTACCGGGACTACCAGCGGGTGGTGAAGCGGCTGGCGGGCATCCCCGTGCTCCTGGAGAAGCTGCGCAAGGTGAGGCCCAGCCTCCCAGCCTCCATGGGAGCCCTTGAGCCCTTCTCCAGTGCAGACTTAGCCTCTCTCCCCTTCGTCCTCCAGGCCCAGGACTTCTACGTGGAGATGAAATGGGAGTTCACTAGCTGGGGTAAGCGGGCTGCAGCAGGTCGCTTCTGGGCTCTCTCGCACTTTAGGTCCTGCACTTGCTCCCTTGCCTGGAATGTGTTCTCATAGCTCTTCCAGTGGCTCCCTCCATCCCTTAGCTCAGCTCAGGGCCACCGCCTCAGCTAGGCGTTTCCAGATTGCCCCAGATACTGTCTTGATTCCATTATTATTCCCTTCACTGTGTCATGATTTGCTTACGGTATTCATGACCTGCCGTTCCTTGCAAGAAGGTAAGCTCTGAGAGGGCAGGAGTCCTGTCTTTTTCACCGTTGTATTCCCAGTGGCTGGAACACTCAGTAGGTGTTTCATAAATATTTGTTGAAAGAATGGATGAAAGAGTGAGTGAATGAATTAATAAATGGTGGACACTAGGGACTTAGTGGTGACAGAAACACGCCCGTCCCGACCTCAGGTTGCTCTTCTGAGTGAGTATGGTCAACACTGGCCAGGGAGGGGGTTTCGGAGGAGAGGCTGCTCTCTCATCAGTCCCCTCCCCCATTCCTGGCCACACGGATCCCAAACCCCATGCCCTGAGCTGGCCCAGGCTGGGTAGGCCAGACTAGTCAAAGCCACCTCCAACCTCCGCTTCCACCAGTGCCCCTGGTGTCCAAGATCTGCCCTAGTGACACCTACAAAGTGTGGAAGAGCGGCCAGAACCTGAGGGTAGACACCACGCTCCTGGGCTTTGACCACATGACCTGGCAGCGAGGGAACCGCAGCTTTGTCTTCAGGGGCCAAGGTCAGGCAGGCAGGAGGTGGGGCGGGGTGGGGACAATGGGAAGCAGCCCCAGGCCACCCCTGAACCCCCTGTGCTGTTCCGTGGCTGGCAGACACAAGCGCTGTGGTCATGGAGATTGACCACGACCGCCGGGTGGTGTACACAGAGACTCTGGCATTGGCTGGGCAGGACCGGGAGCTGCTACTGGCTGCTGCTCAGCCCACTGAGGAACAGGTGCTGAGCCGGCTCACCGCGCCTGTCGTCACCACGCAGCTTGACACCAAGAATATCTCCTTTGAGAGGTGGGTGGGCATGGCCTTGGTCAACCTTGAGCCAGTCCGGTGGGGTGCCTGCCTCAGCTGGACCACTCTGCTTCCCCAGGAACAAGACTGGCATTCTGGGCTGGCGCAGTGAAAAGACGGAGATGGTGAACGGGTATGAAGCTAAGGTGAGGCTGCAGCTCCCAGCTGCCAGCCCAGCTGCACTCTTGTCTGCAGCAAGCTGTGCAGGGGATTCTGGCCTCCCTTCCCCAGCCCTGGAGGTGCAGAAGCAATGCAGCGTGGTCAAGCACTTATATTTGGGTTCAAGGCACTGCTCTGGTATTTTATATGGATGTGTGGATGTATACACAGGGCATGTGCACATGCACACACACACTTAATCCTCACAACCCATTCTGGTAGGTGCTGTTCTATTAGTATTCCCATTTTATGCATGTTTATTGAGTCCTTTCCTTGGCATCCCATTTAGTCTTCACAACAATCCCAAGAAATAGGGATGATTGGTCCATTTTATGATGAGGAAATACAGGCTTAGAGTGGTTCTGTGACCTGTACAAGGTCACACAGCTATTAAGTGGCAGAACTGGGGTTCAGATCCTGGCTGGCCTGATCCTAGAGTCAGGCCTTTATCCCTAAAAATCTTCCTGGCCAGGCGTGGTGGCTCACGCCTGTAATCCCAGTGCTTTGGGAGGTCAAGGTGAGTGGATCACCTGAGGTCAGGAGTTTGAGACCAGCCTGGCTAACATGGTGAAACCCCGTGTCTACTAAAAATACAAAAATTAGCTGGGTGTGGTGGCATGTGCCTGTAGTCCCAGCTACACGGGAGGCTGAGGCAGGAGAATCACTTGAACCTGGGAGGCGGAGGTTGCAGTGAGCAGAGATCGCACCACAGCACTCCAGCCTGGGCAACAGAGAGAGACTCCATCTAAAAAAAAAAAAAAAAAAAAAAAAAAAACCCCAAAAGGCTCTGCCTGTTACTCTGGGACCCCTATGTTGCCCATGACATGAAAGCAGGACCTAACAAATGCCCTGGGTTTTGTGTGTGGTATCTCCTCTGAAAGCCTCCCCTGCTTCTGTAGGCTGGGAAGGCCTCTGTGCTACCCCCACCAGTGCATGGACCATGCTGTTGTAACTCCATTTTATTGTCTCCTTATAGAGATTGTAAGTCTCAGGAGGGCAGGGATCATGTCTGGCTTGTTTACTGTATCCCTGATGCCTACCTCAATGCCTGGCACAGAAAGGCTCCTCAAAAAATGTTTGTTGAATGAATAAGTGAGTGAATGAATGAATGAATGAATGAAAAAATGACCTCATATATTTACTTATCCAAAAGCCTGGAGCAGAGTCTCTCCAGGACCCTTTGCTACAGGGAGTGATCCCAATGCCCTTGGGGGTAAGACACAGGGTAAGACTAGAACTGCCTATGAGCCCTTTCTTTATCTGTCCCCAGGTGTATGGAGCATCCAACGTGGAGCTCATCACCCGGACACGGACAGAGCATCTTTCAGAACAGCACAAGGGCAAGGTCAAAGGTAATGAGGCAGAGGTGGATGGGGAGAGGTGTTGCAGGATTGCGGGAACCAGCTCCCACATTAAATGCTTCCATCAGTATTCCCACAGGCATCCTAGCAAGAGCCTGGAGGCTTTATTCAGGCCAATAGATTTTAATTCAGGTGCCAAGCCCTAATGATGGATAGTGGCTTCCTAGAGTACTAAGAAGATTCTAAGGACTCATCTGGGTTCAGTGGAGAGGCATGCTGCAAGTGATTACTAATGTCGGTGTTGAATTTGGGAGGGGAGAGAAATGCCATGTATGCCATTTATTGGCCATTCTAGTCCAGTGGGACATATCCTAGTTAGAAAGTCAGGGGACCTTGCCATAGATTCTGTATGCCCACTGATGCCACACCTGATTCTCTGGGTACCAGATACTGTGTCCGAAGTGAAAAAGCATAATTTCTACCTCACAGAGGAACAACATGAAGTCATAGCTATGAAAGTGCCTGAAGCAGAGCACACACACGCACACGCACACCCCACAATGCCTACCGGGGAAGGCGTTTTACTGTCCAGGGTCACCGAGCTGGAGAGGAGCACTTTTGGGAGTTGCTTCTGAGCCCTGGGCCTACTTTTTACTGTTTTAAGCTGTGCTCACAGAGGCCCTGGCCCCTGGCCCTTGGAGCCCTCAGTCCTCTTCAGGTGAAGGTGCCTGAGTATGTGGTTGGGTGAGCAGGCCCCACCCCAGGAAGCAGCCTCTTTCCTAGGTCTTGGGTGCTGTCACCTCTGATGAGGTGCCCAGGTGTGTGTGGAGCTACAGTGTCCTCTGAGATGCCACATTTCTTGTAGGCTGTAAGACGCCTTTGCAGTCCTTCCTGGGAATCGCTGAGCAGCACGGGGGCCCCCAAAATGGGGTGAGTGTGTGTCGGGGTACCCATAAGTGGAGGGGTGTGGATGTGGCTCAGGAGGAGGCTTGGGAGGCTTAGCATGGCCCATGTGGACCGCCTTTCCACAATGCCCAAGGCCATGTCCGTGCCACACTGGCAGAGGGGACAGCTCGGGGGCCCTGTGATGGCAAATGAGCTGGCCTGGCATCAGGAACTGAGGGGAGCTCCTGGGCCCCTCCCCATGTGGTACAGACCCTGATTACTCAGACTCTGAGCCAAGCCAACCCCACTGCCATCACTGCAGAAGAATACTTCAACCCCAACTTTGAGCTGGGCAACCGTGATATGGGCCGCCCCATGGAACTGACCACCAAGACACAGAAGTGAGGCCCCTGCCGGTGCTGGGAGGGTGGGGGCTGGGGCTCCAGGAGATGCTGGGAGGCCATGGCTTCCTGCAGTGTCCCTCACCCCTTGGGATCTGGTGGGGGCAGGTTCAAGGCCAAGCTGTGGCTGTGTGAGGAGCATCCCCTGTCCCTGTGTGAGCAGGTGGCCCCCATCATTGACCTCATGGCCGTCAGCAATGCGCTTTTTGCCAAGCTCCGGGACTTCATCACCCTGCGCCTGCCTCCTGGCTTCCCGGTCAAGATTGGTAAGACTGCACCGCCATTTCTCCTGAGCCCGTGGCGGGCGGGCCAGGGTTTAGATGAGGTTGGGGCGGGGCGGGGCTGAGGCTGAGGTGTGAGGGGTTGGGTGGTGGTGCCTGATGGTTTCCTCATCCTCAGAAATCCCGATCTTCCACATCCTCAACGCACGCATCACCTTCGGGAACCTCAACGGCTGTGACGAGCCGGTGCCATCGGTGCGAGGCAGCCCCAGCAGCGAGACGCCTTCCCCAGGCAGCGACTCCTCCAGCGTCAGCAGCTCCAGCTCCACGAGTGAGGCCCCCTCCCTGCGAGAACGCCTGCCCCTCGGCTCTCCCCGGGGTGGGTGGGAGGGGCGCGCCCGGCCGTGCCTGACCCAGCCCCCGCGCCCCCAGACTCCTGCCGCGGCTGCGAGATCTCCCCTGCGTTGTTCGAGGCCCCGCGCGGCTACAGCGTGATGGGCGGCCAGCGGGAGGCGGCGACCCGGGACGACGATGACGACCTGCTGCAATTCGCCATCCAGCAGAGCCTGCTTGAGGCGGGCAGTGAGTATGACCAGGTGCGTCTCCGCAGGAGCGCGGGTCCACGGGACTGCGGCGCCGCCACGGCTAACGCCCATGCCTTCCCGCAGGTCACCATCTGGGAGGCGCTAACCAACAGCAAGCCTGGCACCCACCCCATGTCCTACGAGGGTCGCCGACAGGACAGGTCAGTGCCCGCTGGGCCGGAGAGAATCCTCCGGAGAGGATCCTGTCTCCCCTAAGCCAGGACACAGCCCGGAGAACCCGCGGGGCCCTCGGCAGGGACCCTTCTGGTATCGGGATGGCTTCTGCCACCACTCTTTCCTGGCTCCAAGGCGGCAGTCAGGGGGCAGGGATCGAGGCCTCACCGCGGCGTTCAGACTCTCCCCAGGCATTGACGGGGAGAACTTGGTAGGGGCTGGGCTCCCCCACGACCAGGTGGGGGCCAGGACGCCGCGGGACTGACGGCCTCCACTAGAGGGTGGTGGCCCTGGGCCGCCCTGGAGCCTCCACGCCGTGTCCTGGCCCGGGCCGGTGGGTGGGTGCGCCCGGGAGCCCGCGACATTCCTTCCCCACCCCCAGGAGCGCCCCGCCCACGCCGCAGCGCCAGCCTGCGCCCCCGGCGTCAGTGCCCAGCCCTCGGCCCAGCTCAGGGCCAGGTTCCAGCGGCCACGTGTTCCGGAGCTACGACGAGCAGCTGCGGCTGGCGATGGAGCTGTCGGCGCAGGAGCAGGAGGAGCGGCGGCGGCGCGCGCGCCAGGAGGAGGAGGAGCTGGAGCGCATCCTTAGGCTCTCACTGACCGAGCAGTAGCGCCCCCTGCCGGGACCCTCGCCTGCGCCATGCGCGCCACGCCCAGGGCCAGGAGCCAGACAAGCCTAGGCCTGCGCGCCTGTAGAGCGGCGGCTGGAGACTGGAGCCACTGCCTCGCCGGTGCAGCAGCGCAGCAGGCACGATTTGGGGAGGGATTCGGCATGGCCGCGGGGTACCTTCCCAGGCCAGGGCCCTGGAGGCAGCTGGCATGGCCTGGTTCCCCTGCTTTGCTGTATGCTGATTCCCCAACCCGCTCCCCTGGGCTCAGATCTGTCCTGGGGCGGAGCCAGGCGGTCCTGAGGGCAAGATGAATCCTTAGAGGAGCGCTGTCCCCATCCCTTGCTCCTTGTGGCCGGTCCGCATTTCTGTTCACTAATCCCACTCCAGGACACTGCCCCTGAAGCCTTTGCATCTCTGCTCTTCACTCCTGGGGGGCAGCTGAGGCTCCTCGCGTGCTGTGTCGCTGCTTTGTCCCAGACACAAACCAGCACGTCTAGGGCCCAGCCCCTCCCCAACCCCGGCATTTCAGCGTCAAGTGCACTTACCGGGGTACCCGGCTCCCCCAGCCCCCACACCCGTCCTGGGTCTCAGGGTGGTTCCAGCTTCTCCTTGGGTAGCCAGAAGTTGGAGTCCCATCCCCCAAGGCACATTTTTTTTTTTTTTTTTTTTTTTTTGGTGATCAGGGAGTGTGTCCAAGGTAGCCCCCTGGCCTGGGCAAGCCCTGACTCCCTCATGGTGCCTCAGAGTGGGGAGCATATTGGGCTGGGTAAGCACTAGACCCGAGTAGACTGGACACAAAGGGCTCGCCCAGGGCCCTGGCACCACCCCACCCCTTCCCACCAGCTGCTGCTAGCCTCTGTGGTTGTACATCCCACTTGCCCCCACACGGAGACTGACTCTAAAACCCTTCATCCAATGGTGCTAACCCCCGGCTCTCCCCTGCCCCACCTCACCCACCCAGAGAAGCACAGACCCCGCTAGGGGCAGGGGCCCACCGCACACCCTTGTTCCGGGCCTGTCTGGGACTGGCCTTCCTGGCTCAGCCCCTGAGGCTCAGAGGGGACACAAAAAGGGATGGAAGAAAAGAACAAAGAGAAACTGTTCCTCCCACCCCCTTCCCTGATGCCAGGGGCACCAGACTGATTCTGAGGCACAAATAAAAGAGGCTTCAAACCGGAGGCTTTTGCTACCTGACTTTACTGGGGGGAACGCCTACGGTGTGGGTTGGGGTCCTTCTGAACCTCAGAGTGGGGAGAGCTCTAGGGTAAGAGGCTGCCTGGTGGGCCCTGCGCCCCGGAGTGCATCGCCAGGTCTCCCAGGAGCATAGGGGTAGCATTTGCAGAGGCTGGGGGTCTTGTTCCCCTCACTCCCACCCATGCAGGAGGCACAGACTGAACGCTTAGTAAAATGTTTCATTCAGTACGTCTTGTTTTTCTGAGAGAGGCAACAGCAGAGGGTTGGGGGCAGTGTGTGTGTATTTGTGATGAACCTTATTTCTCATGCCACTTCTCTCAAGATTTCTCCGCGGGGGCTGCCGCAAGGAAGCCGCCCTCGCCCCTGTCGCTGGAAAGAAGGAAGAGAGCTCTCTACCACAGACCTCTGTGGGTGTAACCACTGGGTCCGGCTCTGCAGCAAACGGGATGTGTATGTGTCTGCAGAACTGGGGTGACGCCCATCTGGTTTACCACTCAGGGTGATGGAAACCAGTGAGCTGATTAGGAGAAGCGCTGTCATTTTCCCCAGCCTGGGGGGACCCATCAAATCGCCACCCATCTGAGGTCAAACTAAGGCTCCAATGTCCCCAAGCATCGCGTAAATACTAAACACTTTCCCTGCCCTGGGCAGAGGACAAAGGGGGACACCACCTCGCCGTGCAGCACCATTGCTGGCTCCCCCCGCAGACCTCCCTAGGCCAGCTCCAGCCGAGTCTCAGACGAGGCGCGCCGTCCAGCCTCCGCCGGGCCGACGTGGGTCTCCCCTGTGCTCCAAGAGTTACGGTCTCCCGCGAGGGGCGGAGTTCCCCTCCCAGTCCCGCCCCCGGCCCCAGCCCAAGAGGGCAGGGTCCGGGACCAATAGCTGGGGCGGGGCCGAGCTTGTGCGCCCCGCCCCGCTCCGCCTGCCTGGCGCGCCGGGCTAGTCCGTGCCGTCCACCAGCTCGCACAGCATGTTCTCCAGAGCCGTGATGCGCTGCTCCTGGGCCTGCACCCGCTCGCGGAGGGCCTTGATCTCCTCCAGCAGCGTCTCCAGGGTGTGCTGCTGCTGGGGCGGAGGACGGAGAGGCCGTGTCGTATAGGGGCGGTAGGGGGAGATGTAGATTGGGCCAGGGTGCAGCAGGGTCGATCTTACCGACAAGGGGGCGTCGCTGGACGACTGGCTGCGGCGGGGGACGGAGGGCGGGCGCACGTCCAGGATGTTGCGCTTCGTGACCCGGAGCTCGCGGTGCTTCGGAGGCACGTAGCCGTCCCTCAGCGAAATGAGCACAGGATCGGCGTCCTGACCGGATAGCCATTCGTCCGCTTCTAGGGCCGGCTCCGGGCCCGGCGTATCCGGGTACAGATCGTCCTGGAACAGGTCTGACTGCGGGGGTGGGTGGGACAGGGGGACCCGCGTGAGAGGGGTGCGGGGCCTGCTCCGCTCCGTTCCGCCTAGTAGCCCTGCCCAACCCTTCTCCCGGCCCCTCACCTTGCGGGGCACAGTCATGATGATAGGTTCACACTTTCTTTCGTGTAGCTTGTAGAACCTATAAGGGAGCAGGGTTCAGCACCCCCGCAGACTTCCACGTCCTTAACTTCTCCTGTCTAAGACCAAGGGGGTTGGAGGCCAACACTTGCTGAGCGCCTACCATGCATATTGCACATTACACACATTATTGGTTCTATAGTAAAAGACTGAAGTTGAGAATGTAAGGCTAGTGAGCAGTGGGTCTGGCACTGAAACAGAACTGTCTTATCCCCCTGTCCCCCTTTTCCAAAGCACTGCATTACTGGGGAAGCCCCGTGGCTAGGACCCGACATGAGTAGGGGACAGAGGCGGGCAGGTGTTCGGGAGGGGCCAAGGCCGCTGACCGGGCGATCTCACACTTGCTGACATCCAGTCCCCTTTTGGGCATGAAACCCATGCCCCGCTGCGGCTCTTTGCTGCTGAACGTGTTCAGGTAGTGCACGAAAGGCGGCTCGTCGGTAATCTCAAAGTACCGAATGCTGCTGTCGCCCTGCAAAACCAGTCAGTTCAGGGGCGCGCCCAGACAAGGCCCTCCATATCTCCATCCAGCCCTGTGTTCTCCCTGCCCGGCCGTGAGCACCTTGCCACAAAGGTAGACGATGCTGGAGTCGGGATCGTAAAAGGGCAATAGGACCCCGTTGCTTGTGTCCATCTCCTGCAGCGCCACTGGCTCCTCGAAGTTGTTCTGCCCGAGTACAGGAGGCGTGACCAGCCCTGCCCCACCCTCCCGTGCTACTTCGGGACCCCCAGAAGCCCCTTTACGCTTCCTGGCCTTCCCAGACCGTATGCCCCAAACCTCTAGTGACCAGAGTTGCAGGCCCCTCCCCTGGGCACGTCTCTCCTCCTCCCCTGCGCACATCGCTCCTCCTCCCGGGCACATATACCCGCTGCGCGCCGCATGCAGTCACAGCAAACCACCCCCAGGGACTCGGCATCACCAGGTGGGGGCGCCAGCGCAGGATCCTTCACGCGACGCAGCAAAACTGGGCAGAGGGGTGGGTGTGAGAATGGCAGGCGCTGCAGAGGTGGCAGCAGCCTTCAGTCCTGTCCAGGTGGGCATGCCCTGCGGGTGGGGGGCGCCTGGCCACTCTCCCGTGATGCCAGTCCCCGGGGCACACACCCCAAGCCTCCAGCTGCGTTACCGGGTCCCACAGGCCCAGCTCTCGCTGGCTCATGCGGGTGAAGCCGGTGGTGAAGATATGGCCCTGTCGCGTGAAGACGGCCCGCATGGGCCTCATCCCCTCGTGGGCCGCAAACCTCTCCTGGGGGGAGGGGGAGACAGGGAGGGACATCACCCAGCCGCCTGCTCTGAGCAGCATGGAAGGACGAGCAACCAGCTTGCTGACTTGGGTGTCCGGGGTGGAGGAGCGGAGGCGGGGAAGAGACAAAAGGGGCCTAAGCACTCAGCTTCCTGCGGGGCCATGGCTGGCCCCTGACCTGGAGAGCATCCGCGCCTGGAGAGAGCAGGAGGCACGCGGCTCTCAGCCGATCCCGAACCCTTAAGCGCGCTCAAAGGCCGATCCCTAGAGCAGGGGTGTCTGCTGGCTCCCCGGAGTCGCAGCGAGGCTTTTCCTGAACGGGGAGCTCCCCGCTCAGCTCGGGCCTCTTGGGCGCCAGCCACAGCCAGGGAAGGCGCTCCCGGCGGACCCAGCGAAGGAGCGACCTAGCGCGCCCGGCGCGGCCTGGCCTACCGGGTCCCAGAGCGCGAGCTGCCGCTCACTCATCCTGCTGAAGCCGGTGCTGAGCAGCTTCCCGTCTGCGGTGAAGACAGCCCGCAGCGGGCGGGCGCCCTCGTGAGGCCGGGCTCTCTCCTGCTCGCGGGGTTAGTGGGTTAGAGCGCCCGCGCGCCCGCCCGACCGCGCTCGGCGCTTGTGCTCCACGCAGACATGCAAGCGGCCCACGCACCCGCACCCCAGGTTAGACTGAGGCCGGCGAGGCCAGGGCCTCCGCCCACCCAGGGCACCCGGCTGGGATAAGCAACATGCGAGGGTTGCCCCCCATCCCCCGCCCAGCGGGTCCACAAGGAGAAAGGGCCAGCCCTCGAGCCAGTGTCAGGCCCCAGACCCTGGAAGATGCGTCTGGGTGCCGGCTGAGAGGAGAGGGGTCCGGGAGCTCAGGTTTCATGCAGGTTCTGGTGGGAGGGTGGAGTTTCCAGCTTCTCCCCTCCTCAATCCCAAAGCGAGGAGCCCTTCTCTGAGCTTCTGAGATGCAAGGGAGGGGAGGGAACAGGAGCCGGGCAGAGAATTGCAGGCTGGGGGCTTACTTAGGGCAGAGACCTGTGGTTGCAGAGACGGGGGAAGAGGGCTAGTCTCTGGAGCAGGGATGCGACAGGTGAAAGCCAGGACCAGGGGCTCTGATAATGGTGGGTACAAGGTGCTGACAGCTGGCCACTGGTCAGGGGATGCTGGGGAGTGGCTAGGCCAGGCACTCACCGCCACCACTTGGCCTTTTCTGGGGTCAATGATGCGCAAGGTCTTGTCCTTGCAGGTGGTGGCTAGCAGGCTACCGTTGCTGTTCCAGCACACACTGTGGATGACGTCTGGGTGCATATCATCTAGGCTCAGCAGCACCTCCCCGGTGCCCACATTCCAGATGATGATCATATTGTCACCACCTGCCCAGAGTGGCCAGGCATGGTCACCTGGGTCCCGCCTTTGCCACCACCCACCCATCTATGGGGGACCCCTCCCTTGCCCCCAGACCTGCACTGAGCAGGACATTCCTGGCAGTAGGGTGCCAGGAGAGGATGCCCACGCGCTTGGAGTGGCCCTCAAGTGTGATGATAGGTTCCGTAATGTTGCGCATGGGGGTATAGTCTGGAATCTGCCACACCTGGGTAGGAAGAAAAGGCATATGGTAGGTGGAATGAGGAGCCACCCTGTGCTTCACTACCGGCTCTCTTGAGTGGTAAGGGTGAAATGCAGGGCAAGATGTGGTGGCGCATGCTGAGAGCCAGGAGGGGGCACTGCCAGCTCTCCAGAGACCTCCCATTCACTCCAGCAGGGAGACTTCAGAGCACTGCCCTGCTGCTCTGCAGGCACCACGTTGGCCATGGCTATAATTAGTCCTAAGCAGTGCATCCTGGGAAGGGGTAGGCATGTAGCTAAAAATAGTCTGGGAGCTGGGCAGGGCAGGGCTCTGGGACCCAGCACCTCCCTTATTACCACCCTTAGCACCTTCCCCAGCACAGGTGAGGCAGCCTTCCCTGCTCCCCTGCTCAATTGCCCAGCAGTAGCCCCCTGGCTCCTACCATGATGGTGGTGTCGTCGGAGGCACTGGCGATGACATTGTCATTGTGTGGACACCAGTCAATATCCAACACAGGGGCAGTGTGCCCAGTGACCAGTGGGTAGTTCTTATCCACTCGCCCTGTCTGAGGGGTTGGAGAGGAAGATGTGGGGCTACTCTCCTATGTGTTTTTTAGGGGGTGGGTAGCAGATCTGCTTACACCTCAATTCCCTATGATCTATTTTCTTTTTGCAGATCCCTCTCCACACTTCTAACACCATCCAGTCCACTTGCTGCACTTTACTGAAGGCAGAGTTGAAATAGTTTAATATTAGGGACTCTGACACAGAGAGGTAACATGGCCTCACCAAGGACACACAACAAGATACTCATAGAGCTGAGATTTGAACTTTCCAGTCCAGTGCGCTTCCAAAGACACCTACTTGGAGGAGGCTGTTCTTCAGCCCGTTCTCCTATTGAAATGTCTGTGGGATTCTCCTGGTGGAAGAGGTCAAGGTGAGGTAATAGTGTAGTGCTGGATAGCCCTTTCCTGGCCTCCCTTGGCAGATCTCTTCCTTGTGAACCACTTTCACCTTGGAACCAGAAGCAGCAAGCATTCCTGGTGCCTACTATCCCAAATGGGAGCTGGGGGCCTACCTATTTTTTGGTCTTCACAGGCTGCTTGTGGGGGTTCTGAGACTTCTGCAAGGACAGGCACTAGTCCAGACCAGGCAGCGGGGGAGAGGGTGGCTATGTGGTACTGAAAGAGCAGACATATTGGGGGAGGAGGCAGCTCCAGCTGAAATTTGAGCCCTGGGGCCTGTGTCCCAGGATGGTGTCTGCATTGTCTAGGGTGAGTCACTGGCTTTGTCAGGCCTCTTCCTGACCCTGCCCCCTGTGGAGCCTCCCCTAACAAGGTGTAGGGGCCAGAATCCAGGTCAGGGTCATACCTTGGGGGTGGGGGGGAGTCATCCTTGGGATGTGGATGGCCAAGGGGCTTAAGGTTATGAAGTTAACATGGCAGTCATTGCCTGGTCCTCATCCTAAGGGTAAGGAGGGCTCTGGCCTCATGTATCATGTTCCCCTTCCTTTCCCTTCCCTTTCTTTCTACTTCACTGCAAGAGTCCTTGGAGGTAGCCAGGGACTCTTTGGATAGAGCCTGACCCTGTCCTCAGTTTGCTGCTCTGAGATGTGACTTAATCAAATGGTCATCTTGGGCTAGGGAGGAGGTTTCCACACCCAAAACATGAGGGGATGCGGCATTAGGAGAGGCAGTGATGGAATCTGGCCAGGCTCGGCTGTGCTGTGTCCCAACCATCTCCATCACCCAGCTCCCCTCCTGGTCCCTGCTGGGAATGGGGTGGTGCGTGGAGAGGTGGGAGGGCTCGGGAGAGGGAGTAGGCCACCCTGATGTTAGGGTGGGGTGGGGTGGCCTCCCCTCTGGTCCTTGAGGGCTTGGGGAATAGGGAGGAGACAATCCACACAGACACTTCTCCTGACTGTGGAATGCAACTAGGTGAGAACACAGGCTGCTTCGGGAGTTCCCAGGGGCCCCAGCCAGTGTCTTCCCACTTGCTTCCTTTCCCTGGTCTCTCACCTTGGCCAGAGGCAGGACGATGAAGGCACCGCCGCCTCCAGCCTCCACAATAATGGCCAGGAATTTGGGGTTGACGGCACAGAAGGAGCTGTCCCATGTGACCTTGGACACACGGATGTCCTCATAGGCCTGGTCGGCCTTTGCTGCCTGCCCAAACACATGGCGGAACTTGCTTTGCCGAACCACACGTCTGCTCATAGCTGCGGGCAGAGAGGTAGGATCTCAGTGCCCAGAAATGCCTTTGGTCCTTAGTCCTGTGAGCTGTGGGAGGGAGGAGGAGTGGAGGGGTGGCTGATGAGAAGGGTTATGTGGTCAGGAGTCCGGTATAAGTCCATATAGTGTCTAGTCCTAGAAGCAGGGAGCTTTCTTCAAGGTGGTCAGAGTATAGGAAAGTTATTTTGCTGTGTAAAATGCTGTTTACTGTAAGGGGCTAGGATTTGGGGCCTGACTTCTCCATAGAGACCCAGGCTGAGGGGATTGTGGAGCCTAACGGACTGAAAGCTTTCTGGACGTTGGAATGTTTTTAGGAGGAGCCTCAATGCCACATTGCCCGCCCCCCATCCCCCACCCCCCACCCCCTGCTCCGACAGTCTTGATGAGCATCTCTTCACGGAAGTGATTGTAGCTCCCAGAGGCACCCTGTCCAGAAGCAGAGGCCTTGACCATTGGATCTTGGCTTAAAGCCAGGTATGGGGCCAGGACTGCACCACCACCACCACAGGATCCCGAACTTGCATCTCTGGAATAGTTCAGGCAGATGGAGTTTTGTCTTTTTCTAAAAATTTGCCAAGGGGGAAGTTCCTCCTGTCAGCCAACCTGAGTCCTTTCTGCTACTGTTTTCATCCCATGCCTTGTGGGTGGACGGGTGGCAGCACAGAGTGAGGTGGGTCCCTCTTCTCCCACTCCTCTGCACTGGCTTCTCCAGGGAGCCCTGATCATGGTCTTCCGGCTTTTGCCTACCATACGCTTGTCCGGTTTCTCCTCTGGGTCCCCTGCCCTGGTTGGGCCTTCTTCCTAGTGAATTCTTCTGGGGGGGGGATCCTCAACCCCATCCTCCACCCCTACCCCCTCCGCAGCCAGGCCAGATTTGCAGGGATGGGGAGGGTGTGGTGCCTTTTCTCCAGCTAGGGCCTCTCTAGATGACACACTGAGTACTCCCAAAGCTCCAGCCAGTAGCTCCTGCCCCACCCCAGCCCCAGCATCCGCGTGCCCTTCAAGGCACGTCTGCGGCCCCGAGCCTGAGGCCCGGCCTCCCCGCACCCTTCTCCAGCCTCCTGCCCCAGCACTGCGTTCTTGCGAGACGAGGTGTCTGCGCCCTCCGGGAGCGCTGGCCAAATATAGACACCACGTCCTCCCCGCCCGAAACCGAATTTGGCGGCGCGGGGGGAGGGGGCGCAGACCTCTGCCCCTCAGGGACCCCGCCCGCTCCGCCGGCTGCGGTGGCTGCCGCGTGTTGGGGGCTGGGTACCTGGTCCTGAGCGGGCTGCGGGGCGCTCACGCTGCGAATCCTCTGCGGAGGGGGCCCGAGTGCGTAGGGGACCGAAGAAGTCGTCAGAGCGAAGGAGCCGGCTCTCCGGGTGTCCGTAGTATCTGGGACCCGGGTGTCCGGTTCCACACTCAGGCCGCTGCCTGCGGCTCTCCAGGGCCAGGCGCCGCTGCAGCCCCAGCTGCTGCTGCCATCAACCTGAGGGGGTGGGGACTAGCTTAGGGGCGGGGCCAGGACCAAAGTTGCCCCGCCCCCTCTAGCGGCGGGAAAGTCGAGCGCCCCCGACCGCGCTCCGAGCTTCCTCTGGCCTCGGAAAAGCATCAAAAGTAAGTGTGCCGCTGTGTGCTGGGTACGCACGCTCCTTCCCTCCTTCCGAGACTCCCGGGTAAGCTGGGGAGGCAGACCCAGAGCAGGACGCTTGAAGAGGGAACCGGCGAGGGGGCGTGCTGCCCTAGAGCCGGCAGCCGTGCGAGATCAGGTGCCTCCGCCCGCATTCCAGCCGCAATCGCGCTCCCAATTTAGCTGTCCCGACCGGCCGGGACTGCGGGACTGCACGTCCAGGCCTCCCTGGGGGAAAGAGGCCCTAGAGGATGAGGTCCCAGGCTGATCCTGATCTAGGGCAAGTGCTAGGGCACCCGACATCGGGCTGAAATGTTATTGTTATGAATGGCAATAGCGATCATTTGAGAAACCTAAAATGCTGGCTGTGTGCTAGGCATTTCACCCCATTAGAGGGGATTCCATGGACCAGGGCAGGAAGCAGCTGAAAGACCAAGGAGAGGACCTAGTGTAAAGTGAACCCACCTTGACACTCCCTCCCCTCCAGATGCCGGGGGAAGAGGCTGGCACAGATCTCTAGTCACATTTTAGGGGTCAGAGAAGCCAGCTCAGAGGCCAGACCCCTAATGTTTTCTGGGCCTTGTTTGAATTGGTGCCCGACTGTGTTCCAGGTTAGCTTCCCCCATATGCCCCAATATCCACAGAACTGAATGCTGACCGAGGTCAAGGAGATTAAAGATAAACTAATCAAAATACAGCCAGTGAAGACCAACCAGTCCCGTAGCTCCAGTCTACCCAGTGTCTTCACATTCTCTGGATTTCTTCCCTTAGATCATAGGGGCATCTGGGACCGGTTATTCCTTCCAACTCTCCAGGGCACACCTGGGAGCGAGTGAATGGAACACAGCCTTCCGGAGGGCAGATACCAGCACTGGGGAGAAAGGGGAGGGAAGGTGGTAGAAACCATGAAGGGCCCCACAAGGCTCCTTTGTTTCTCAGGAAGAGTCCAGGTGGCTTGTAGGGACAGACTTAAATCAAGAGCCAGTGGCTTGTAGGGGAACAGAATAAAAAACTGTTACGAGTGCTCCAGAAATAACTCCTGGCATAGGGGTGCAGGGGCAGGGTATGAGGGTACATGAGTCATCTCTCTTTTACCTAAAGATTCCAGGCACATGATTAGGAGGAAAATACCTGAGTGACTCAGTTGCTCCTTTACAACAATAACCCATGCTTATGTGCTAGGCACTGGCACTGTTGTAAGGGCTTTATATGTATTAATTTCATACTCTTAACAATCCTCTAGGCTGGTCGCAGGTGGCTAATGCCTGTACTCCCAGCACTTTGGGAGGCTGAGGCAGGTGGATTACCTGAGGTCAGGAGTTTGAGACCAGCCTGGCCAACATGGCAAAACCCCATCTCTACTAAAAATACAAAAATTAGTCAGGTGTGGTGGTGGGCGCCCGTAATCCCAGCTACTCAGGAGGCTGAGACACAAGAATTGCTTGAACTTGAGAGGCGGAGGTTGCAGTGAGCTGAGATCGTGCCACTGCACTCCAGCCTGGGTGACAGAGTGAGACTCTGTCTCAAAACACACACACACACAAACAAAAAACAATCCTCTAAGGTGGATACTGTTATTATCCCTATTTAACAGTTGAGGAAACTGAGCCACAAAGAGGTTAGGTGACTTACCCATCACAACCTCAAGAGGTAGTTGATGTAGCTGTGATTCTTACCCACGTGGTCTGGCATCTGGTCCATGCCTTTCAGCAGCATGCATTTCTATCTCTCCCTGAAGGACAGTGCCACTTTATCTCACAAGTGCTGAGCTAAAGCATAACAGAGTTTATACTGTGTGGCACAGAGGGAAGGATGCCTGGAATGAATTAAAAAACTGGTTCCAGTCCTGGCTCAATCGCCATATTTTTACAGCTCTCTGAACAGGACTGGGTCAGATTCTTTCCAACTCTGCGCCACTCCTTAGCAGAGTAGGGATTTTATGTGCTGCCTCCTGTGAAATGGCATTTCCCCTACCCCACCTTCCTTCTCTTTAAAGAGAACAGGAGACTCCCTTCTAGAGGGAAGGGCTTGGGACTAGGAAGCAGGAATCCTTCAATGCATGCTCCCTTCAGTTCCATCATCTAGGAAGGGCGGTGCTTTCCGAGTACAGGGATTCAGATATTTGCTTGGGCCTGGCGTAGCTCAGCCCTGCCCTCTAGCCTTCTTCTGGCTGCCAAGGCCTGGCAGAGCTGTGAGTGGGCAGAGTTAAGGCAAGAAGAACCAATCAAGGAAAGGAGCTACTTGGGCTTCCTGCCTCCCTTTTGAACTGTTAGCTCTGAACGGCAATCCATAGAAGACAGTCACGGATTTCATCTTTTAGGAAGCCATTTTCTGGATGAGGTAGCTGGCAACTTAGCCATGATTTGGTCAATCTGCTTTGGCTAGAAAACCAAGACTGAGCTTATCTAGACTGGTCAGGGATCCCAGGGATCCTTAGAATATTTTGTGAAAGACCTTACCTTCACCATCATGCACTCCAGCTAAAGACCAGCACTGTGCCCCTCCCACTTGATATGGATGATTCAGAATGAAGCAGGCTGACTTTAGTTCAAAGCAGTTTTTTCTCTTTTGGCAGGGGAGCGGGGGGAACTTCAGCAAATTTTGTTAGCAATTGGGAACTGGAAACTAAGCTCTTCCTAGATGATAGCCCTGCCTTGTATGTGATGAATGGCACCACTAAATATCTCAAGATGTTCATATTCCATTTCCAGAAATTTTTCAGTGGGCTGAGGTGTTTCATTTATTTTTGGGGGTTCAACTCTCTCTTCAAGGTGACATGATTGGGATCAATCATTGAAAACTACTGCTGTTCACTGTGTTTCTTCTTCTGACCCTCCCTCCTTCTCCAGCACCTCCCTCCTTTATTGCATCTGATGAAGTACACGTTTCATCTTCAAAATAAAAATTTATTCAATCTGTAACAAGAACATTGAATCTGCACATTTGCGCACAAGTTCACATTTAAAAACAGCGGAGCACATCAGTAATAAAAAAATCTATGATACAAGTGGAACATCCCAACCACCAGGAAGATTAAGGAAGGAGATGAGACCACTCTATATTCTGCTTCAAATGCCTCAAAAAGGTCCCAGAGATTCCAGGGAGCACCTGCTTTAATAAAATGTGAGCATAAAAGTTTGGGGTGGCTTGGGGCAAAGTTAACAGTCAGAAGGAGAGTCTTCTGGACTTGTTTTTTTTTTTTTTTTTTGAGACGGAGTCTCGCTCTGTCGCCCAGGCTGGAGTGCAGTGGCCGGATCTCTGCTCACTGCAAGCTCCGCCTCCCGGGTTCACGCCATTCTCCTGCCTCAGCCTCCCGAGTAGCTGGGACTACAGGCGCCCGCCACGTCGCCCGGCTAGTTTTTTGTATTTTTTTAGTAGAGACGGGGTTTCACCGGGTTAGCCAGGATGGTCTCGATCTCCTGACCTCGTGATCCGCCCGTCTCGGCCTCCCAAAATGCTGGGATTACAGGCTTGAGCCACCGCGCCCGGCCGGACTTGTTTTCCATGTTAGAACAAGTCCTGCAAAACAAAGCAGAAACAAAAGAAAAGAAAAGAAAAGAAAAGAAAAGGCACCTTTAGATATGCCAAGCAAACCAAAACCCAACAAAACGTAAAATTCAAACATTTCCCTGTGGGCTTACAAGCACTTCAGGGCCAGTTACCCAGTTTTTAGTTTGGGTATTAGCTCTGCATGTGTACACAGGACGCTGCCACCAGCATTGCTTTGAGGACACAGATGGCAGCACCAGTCAAATGCCTCTTAGGGGATCTTCAAGCTGATTAAGGATGATTCCAGTTTAGAAATCCTATCCTAGATCTCTGGGGCACTGAGAAAATGAGGCTGGTTATCTTCTCATAGCAGGAACCAGGGCTAGTCACCCTCCATTTCCAGGCTGGAAAAGTACAGAAGCACCTTGCAATAGCTCTTCATGGCGTCAAGGGACCCCACACCCTGGGAGAAGGGTTAGGAGTGTGCAGCTTCCTGCTTTGGTGGCAGGCCTTTTCCTAATATGGGTGTCAGAGGAGTTGAGACAGCAAATATGCTTGTGTCTAATACATGCCTTGATCTTTTAGTTAGGAAGGGAAAACAAAGTCCAAGATGCTTTTAAGTTGGATTGATGCTGAAACAGCTAAAATTTCATCTTATCCACCATCAAAAGCAAAACAAAATTAAACAAAATGACACTAGCCATTCACCATTACAACCATCACTATAAGACACACTACCACTGAGGAAATGACAACTATTTCCATAGAGAGTGCTGGATGGGAGGGCAGGACACAGATGGAAGTCAGCTTCAGGGTATACCCACTTATTCACAAGGGCTGACCATGATGGCACTGCTCTGCATGAGGACTCACAGGACAGCTAGGGCACTGATGCCTGCAGGACTGTGTGGCCGACAAGATGATGCACATTTTAATATTCAAAATGTAAACAAAGTATCCACAAATAGTCCAAAAAAGCCAAAGAATGGCTTTATTTAAAAATTTTTAAATGCCCTTAAAAGTGACTTTTTGCATAATGCGTTCTTAAAAAAAGAACTCTCACAAAAACATTTTTACCAAACATGCCTAGATCACTTCAGAACTGAAATCCTCAGATGAAACAGGTGAACACTTCTGTGACCTGCTACATCTCAGAAGCTTCTCATAGGAAGCTTTGGGTTTACCCAACAGCATCTGTCTGGGGCCTGTGAGCAGGGGGCTCAAAGCCTGGGGCACTGAGATCTTCAGGCTGTCCTTGGAGCTCTGGGTAGTTAGAAAATTAGAAAGAGGAACTATCAGTAGGTATAAAGACAGAATCAAGAAATCCATAACCCTGTCTCAAGCCTCCTCAGAACCAGAAAAATACTAAAGATCCTGAAGAGACTGAGATGATAGGAATGATCCCAAACATTTAGAATCTGAAAGGCAACTAAAATTAGGAGAGATGAGTATTACAGTACTATAGTACCACATGTCTACTAGAGTATCCATTACTCCTGGGTGTTTCCAAAAATCAAGAAAGGTTGGGGTTTCCCTTTCTACTGACCAGGTTCAGCTCAAGTTCTACATGTTTCTGGAGGTTTTACCCCATGCATCAAAACATCAACTCTTTTTACATATGTACATATGTGTACACATGCACACACACTCCTCCAAAATAAGTGAGAGTCTATTGGTGGTTGAGAGAGAGAGAGAGAGAGAGAGAGAGAGAGAGAGAGAGAGAGAGAGTCTACTAGAGTATCCATTACCCCAAGTGTTTCCAAAAATCACAGCAGTCAGGCTCCCTCTACTGGGACCAGGTCCAGCCCGGTCCTGTCTTACGCCCTAACCCACAATCAAACCTCACACACAAACTCTGAGAGAGAGAGAGAGAGAGAGAGAGAGAGAGAGAGAGAGAGAGAGAGGTAGACACTGGGCAAGAGTCAAAGTGTTTTCTATTCATCTTTGCCAGTCTATCTGCTCTTTCAGGTCTGGGCTTTACATGCACAGAAGAAAAGGGAAAGAGGCCACTGGAGATTATAAAAGAGTCTGAAGAGAAGACAGTCTGCAAAGTCCTTGACAGTTCATTACGCACCTCCCCTGGACACTGCTCAGCTGTGTAAATAACCCAGGAACACCCAATTCTGGGAGTCTGAAAAGGCTGGCAAACACTCCTTGGCATGGCTGAATTACAGACACTCTGTAGAAGATGTTTATTAAACGATAAAAAAATGCTAATTATAAAAAGGCAGAAAGACTTTCCTTTGCTCTTAAAAAAATTTTTTCCCCACAGCATTAGTGGGTTTTGTCCCATCTTTGTTGTTATTTAATGCAATGAGTGAACATTAAACACAGTGGAGGGGAGAAGAGGGAAAAGTCCAAAACTCTGGTCCTGCTTGTACCTCTTAGTGTGTGGGATGTCATCATGGTAAGGGGTTACCATGAGTGGATGCCACTCTCTTAACTTCCAGGCAAATCCTCTTCCCACCCTGCCACAATTTCCTGCCCTTCCCCATCATATTGGTGGTGGAACTGCTTCAAGAAGGCAGGGCATTCTAGATGGAAGAGCCCTGGAAATCCATAACCCTGTCTCAAGCCTCTTCACATTAGTTCATACCACCTAACAAAACACTTTACAACACACAAATATCCAGGAATCACAAAACTGTGTGGATGATATACTTGAACATTCAAGGAAACTACTGAGCAACAGCACAGGGTACACATAATCACTACACCATAAAGATGCTTTTAGCAAGTGGTTTCTGTCCAACCCGCCTCCTGACAGTGATGTCAGACCCAACCTCGGCTTCCACACAACTTCACAGCTCCTCTGAAGCCCCAGTGGCCCCATCTACCTTTTCTGCATTTTTTGGGTTACCCTGCCATCTGCCCCCACCAAACTCTGGCCTCTGACATCACGCTGACAGTCTGTGCATTTGTATTTTCCTCTTCAGTGTTGTGACGAGCCAAAAACCTGTCTCCAGTCTGTACTCAGTCAATCCTCAGTAATGTGGACATCAACGAAAGCTAACAGAAAGCAAATCTGCAAGCCTCTTCAGTTTTAATGAGCTGCAGAGGTGTTTCATGCTAGACTAAATCTGTCTTCTGTAAGAAGCTACAAGAGGCTTGTTTATGGCAGGTGCTGCTGCGTTAAGGATCTCCACAACAGTAGCAAAGCGACAGCATCCTAAATGGAGTCACTGTGGGCACTTGCCCCTGGCTGAGGCCTCCCCTGTGGCCTTCAGCCTCCACTAGAAGCTTCCACCCTGAGCAACTCACATATACTTCCTGGTTGTGGTTGAGATACTGGCAAACAATGTTCTGGGATTTCAGTCTCAGAAAGAAATCAGCTTTCAGTCACGCTGTAACCTAATGGGAGCCGTTAGGGGTGTCTCTGAGGAAGAAGTTACTAATGCATAATTTGGCAGGAGCTGGTGATTAGAAGTCTCCATTTAAACAACTACAACCACCATCAACATACTGTACAGATTCCTATCAACACCCAACAGTTTTATTTCTGGTGTCTGTGTGTTTTCCAGTTGCAACTCTACTCCTTCTTGAAAAGAATAAATCAAAAATACCCTACATAATGAACAACAAGACACTGTAAGACAGTGACAATATTATGTACATAAATACTGTGTACAAACCTTAGAGAAATGACAAACCTTCCAGGAAAAGGAAAAAAAAGTGTTAACAGTGATAATACCGAAAATAAAATATTGCATTCAATGGATGTTAAACATATGTAATGTTAACAATTCAAATATAATCTATGAAATTTAAAAAAATAGGCAGCATGGGGACAACAGCATGGGGAAGGAAAATAAACTGGAAGAAAATATGGCCATTAAACTCAGAAGGCCCAAAGAATTATTCAAGTAATGGAAGGGTTAAAACCCTACATACGTATTCATTTTACAAGAACACACTGACTTTCGATTGCTGCTTTTCAAACATGTCACTGTTGTTTTCAGTTGGGAGGACACTGCAGGCACATTTTTCTGGTAGGGAGAGCCAAAATGCCCATCTGTGTGGATCCACCAACCTAGCAGTTTCTGGGCAGCAGCCTCTCCACCCCCAACTTTATGTTTTCCTCCTCTTATCATGCTTTCCTCTACAGAAGACCACTTGGATTTGGGGTCCTGTTTTAATTTCAAAAATAATTTTCTTGGGGAAGAAACTATATGATAAATTTGCAGAGCTGGCCATTATCATGCCTTACTGTAATGATACACTCTGGAATACCGGAAGATCCTCTTTTAAAGCAAAGTGGAACCTGCCTCCTTCAGGAACTCTAAAGGGCTGCGGCTGGACAAAGGCTGAGAGCCCTCTGACTTCTGGCTGCCCTTTAGCCCATTCGATGCCTCAGGTCTGGAAACCAAACCATCATCACAAAGGCAGGGGAACATTTCCAATTCCCAGCTTTATCTCCAAATAATTTCCTCCGAATCTGTTTCCTTCCCTCAATCAAGGAACCATGCCTTTTCTCAGAGGGCAAAATGAGAGGCAGGTGGCAGCTGACTGAAAAACAGCAATTTGCCTTTGATAAAGGTGTTCTCTGAAAATGACTTTTTTGAGGTTTGATTTTTTTAAAATAAAAAATGATAAACGGTCTTGCCATCCAGATCAAGCTCTCTTTCCCCTTACATATACACACACATACACACTGAAAACCCAAACCCTGCATGCGCCAGAAACAGTAAAATGACCAAAATATTATAAAATTAACCAATAAAGTGCATGTTCCTTACATATTACACCTGCCCCTTTTACAAACATTTCTTCTAGAAAGTCACATGTGTAGGCTCAGAATCACATGGTATTATAGAAGGGGTTGGTTGTCCGTTTTTTGTCATTTGCCTTTTTCAGTCTCCTGAGGGGGTGAGTTCTGCCGTGCTGCTGACGGGGTGCCACGGCCAGCCCTGGAGCTGGGCATGCACACTGCAGTCCCTGGGTCTGTAGCATGGGAAGGCCTCCTTCAGAACTAGTCAATTCAGGTCCTGCCCTGGGAAGCAAACACTGCTGACTGGAACCAAATTCTTTGGCATACTGCACAAGGGGCCTCTCCACTGGCTTGCTCTGCACAATACACTCTGTTGTTGTGAGCTGTTCTACAAAATACTTGGTGGGCTCTGGGTTGTGGGGGGCACCTGGGTTTTCTAGGGACTCTTGGTCCTCCATGGCATGCATGCCTGAATCTGTTCTGAGGAAAGGCTGAAGCAGTTTGAGATGAGGGGATTCACAGGAGGCAGGCTCCCTCTCTGGTAAGCAGTCTTTACAGAGGTCCAAGTAACCTAATTTGGCGAGGGAAGCTGAGCGCCTCATTTGGGATGGTTTGGTGAGCCCTGCCTGGAAAACCACTCGAGACTCGATTTCTTTAGCACGCTCCTTCACCACACCAGGGCTGTGGCTGAGACCCTTTATGTTTTCACTACTAGAGCTATGTGGGAGTCGGCAGGCTACAGGCAATGGGTCCACTTTCTCCTGTAACTCCCCAGTGTTGTCACCAAGTTTGCTAATTAAACTTAGGTCTGCGCTACTTAGCTGGGAGTCCTTATATGGCACCTCACTGCCACTGGAGAGAGGGCTGTCCTGACTTTCTTCCCAGCTAACCTGTTCTGCAGAGGGCTCATCTGTGGTGCTGCTCTGCTCTGTGAAGCCCTCCAGGTGAACCGTAGTCTGGGGATGCAGGTAATCCAAACTGGCAGACAGTAAGTGGGTTGCATGACTGACAAAAGGTGCCGCTGTCTCCAGGGCTGTTGACAGGCTGCTGCCTCTGTCTTCAGGGCTACTCAGCGTGGAGGTCGGGTGCTCAGTGGGCCTGTTGTGCTCAGGAGAGGAAGAATGAGGCGGAGGTAGCACTTGGGGGTGCAGAGAAACCTGGTTGGGGTCCAGAGTCCTGTTTAGATTTTCATCCAGTGTGCAGAGCACAGTGACAGATTTTTCCACGTTCACTTTCCTTAGTCCTTGCTCTCCGCTCTTCTCGCTGGTGGCTATTTCACTCCCTGGCCCAGTGTGATTGGGTGATGTAACTGTGTGGGTATACTCAATGATTTCTACCCTCTTGGGAAGGGGAAGAGGGACTGCCTGTGTCTCAGACTCCTGGTGTGGTATCACAGTCCTCAGATCCTTCAGGACTCCTTCCTGCTGTGTTCCAGTATCTGACCCTGGGCCCTCCTGAGGAGCTGGCAAGTGGTCAAACTCCAGCACCTTGGGAGCTGGAACAGTGGCATTCTGCTCAGAATGGGACAGTGAGCCAGCCTCAGGCCCACTGTATTTCCCTTTGCCTTTGCTCATCTCTGGTTCCTTGGGGACAAATGAATGTTCTGGGGTGGCTTCATCACTCTTCCCTTTTGGTGCCAGGTCTGCCACAGAAGAATCATTCTTTGAATTCTTACGAGTGGACAATGAGGTACATGTTGAGGCAGCACCATGATGCTCTTGCTCCTGCCGTAAGCGCTCTTCAAACTCCAAGGTGGCTCGCCTCACAGACCCAGGGTACCACTTGGCACCTGGGTGCATCCCTGAGCCCTGGAGCTCTTGTTCCCCCTCAGCTGGTTCCCCTTCTTCCAAGTCTGCTGTAGATGAGTGTGTGGTTAGGCAGCCTTCTGGGGTGCACATCCCTGAGTCTTTGGCTAGTTCAGGCTGGGCTGTGCAGGAGCCCTCGTCTTGCTCCAGATGTCCAGGTTTGTTCTCTGGGGTCTGGGCCCTCTCAAAGAGCAGCTCATGGATGCTGTTCTTCTTTGGTGTATGGCACGGGTTGGATAAGATGTCTCCTTTCAGTTGAATCTGTCCAGCTCCTTGACTGATGGACTCAATTTCAGTGACAATTTCTTTGACTGAAATTGCATTTTCCAAGTGAGACTGCATGAAGATGTCTGGGCTGACCAGTTCTGAAATTGCCTAAGAAGAGAAAGTAGTGAGAAGATTATGGCAAATTGTAGTCTAACTGAAAATGCTTGATTTTCTGCTTATTAATCCTCTGATCCAGGACAACCTATCTGACTATGAGAATACCAATCATGGAGTGCCTGGGACCGTACTCTGCCCATCTGTTCTGTCACACTACAAGAAAAAACTGGATTCATCAAGGCTAGACATAAAATTTGTGATAGGTTGTGTTATTCTCTACTAAACTTTCTGTTCTGTTTACTCAAGCAGAATTCCAATCCAAAACTTTGCTCCCAAATGAACAGCAAATATTTTTGGAGTCTCCTATAATCTTTATTTTCCTAAGACTATGAGCCTCCAGGATTCAGGCCACACTGTAGTAAATGAAACCTTTCCCCCATGGCCTATCAACTTTCAGTTTGATCCTAACCTATCTGAGGGAAAGAGTTCCATTCAAGGGCTAAGATACGTCCTTAGATATGTCCCGGTGATAGAGCTAGATGGACGAGGCTATCATTTGATTTCTGATTTGGAGACTCACTGCTCTCTTCACTCCTCTGTCTTGCTAGCTTTCACTCACATCCTCTCACTGCTTCCGCTAGCAGCAGCATCCTAGTACCTACAAGCAGGGAGAATGCACTGTCTGACTACCCAATCTCTAAGTTTCACATGGTTCCTTCTGGGAAAGGTTTACTTGGCTTACACAGTCACATGCCTTAGCAAACTTAGAAACCATAACTCTCTAGTATTTTACTATTTTACCAGCTATAAATTCCTAGATGGATTTAGAACAAGGCCAAAGAATACTGACCAATGCAAAATCAAGTCCTACTGTAAAAAAACAAAACAAAACAAAAAACAGAAGAATCTCAAAATCTGGGAATAGCCCTTGGATACCTCTTAAAGTAGTATCATTATGAGTATCAATCTAGTTAACATTTTTATAAGCCTTCAAAGTATATTTCCTTGGAACTGTTCTGGTCTTTCTCCTTCAAAAGAGAGTCAGAGTTAGTGTAATCTAACAGGGTCAGTAATGCCTTTGGGGGAAATGTGCCATGACATCAGGCAGAGGCAAACTTGCCAAGACTGGGAGAGAAGCCACAGTGGGCCCTGTGTGTGCATGGGCCGTGGAAGGAGTGCTCATATGACCAGGGACTGTGAAGAAGGCTATTTCTGTCAGTGCTGCTATAGTCACTGGTCCAAAGGAGAGCACAAGCAGTCTGCCTTCTCAGTAGAAAGGAAACAGAGGCACAGCTTTGGGGGTGGTAAAAAGACAGACACAGAGGCAAGAATCACAGTGGGGTAGTTAAGGAGAGAGAACAAATCGTTAATGGACAAAGTGGTAAATATAAGCAGACAGACATCAGGAGATGCAAAGAATCTATGACGAGCTCCACTAAAATCATTAAGTGAAGTTTGGTATGTTAGAGTAAATCTGTCACAGTTTATTCCCCAACTACTATATTGTATTAAGTATTTAAGATGTCAGAAGTATCAAAATATGAATAACTTGTGAGTCTTAGAATAAGTGTGAGTCTTAGAATTGATGTGATATAATGATTCTTTCCCTGGTTTGAGATGGCTTGTAAGAGTTCCTATGCCACAAAGAATTTTAGGATTCTGTCTGCTGGCAAATTCATTTCCTTTTGATTCTCTCTCTTTTTTTTTTTTTTTTTTTTTGAGATGAAGTCTCACTCTGTTGCCAGGCTGGAGTGCAGTGGCGTGATCTCAGCTTACTGCAACCTCCGCCTCCCGGGTTCAAGCGAATCTCCTGCCTCAGCCTCCCAAGTAGCTGGGACTACAGGCACACACCACCACATGCAGCTAATTTTTGTATTTTTAGCAGAGATGGGGTTTCACCATGTTAGTCAGGATGGTCTCAATCTCCTGACCTCGTGATCCGCCTGCCTCGGCCTCCCAAAGTGCTGGGATTACAGGTGTGAGCCACCGTGCCCGGCCATCTTTGGGCTTCTCATTGTTCAGCCAGGACACTTGTTTTTGGCTCACTCCTTCCTCTGTCATCCCCTCTTAGAAGTGCTTCCAATGACACCAGAAAGGTAAATTCCTAAAAGGCAAATTCTTTAAAAAATATTTAAACCCTAAGTTTTCTTTTTTTTTTTTTTTTTTTTTTTTTTTTGAGAGGGAGTCTCGCTCTGTCGCCCAGGCTGGAGTGCAGTGGCTGGATCTCAGCTCACTGCAAGCTCCGCCTCCCGGGTTCACGCCATTCTCCTGCCTCAGCCTCCCGAGTAGCTGGGACTACAGGCGCCCGCCACCTTGCCCAGCTAGTTTTTTGTATTTTTTAGTAGAGACGGGGTTTCACCGGGTGAACCAGGATGGTCTCTATCTGCTGACCTTGTGATCCGCCCATCTCGGCCTCCCAAAGTGCTGGGATTACAGGCTGGAGCCACCGCGCCCGGCCAAACCCTAAGTTTTCAAGGAAAATCTCAGGCAGATTCTCCATCAAAAATAAACATAACAGAGTCCCAAATACTTTACCTTTGAAGAGAACTTCATTAGGTGGAAAACTACAAAGACAATTTTTACCTTTGACTGTTCCTCATCCATTGAAGATTCTTCTGATGCATGGGGAGTATTACTCAAAGAGCTGCTTCTCTGGTCATCAGTTGTCACTTTGGAAGGGGCTACTTCTACCACTGACAGTCGACAGCTCTCACTCCTTCCTCCACCCAGTTCCTCCATCCTTGAATGGGAAAAAGATCGTGACCGGGTTTCTTGGGAGAGCTCCACAAACTTCTCTAGGGCACTAAAAAAGTCAATGCGATCTGTACTGAAATCTGAGATTTCAGTCTGGCAACTGGGTTGGGGGCTTGGTGACTCAGGATCAGGGGACATGGGGAGGTCTTTCAGTCGAGATGTCAATTCTTCCATAGGCAGTAGGTGGACGTTCATGTCTGCTTTCAGTGCGTCTGTCTCCAAATCTTCCACTGTTAAGTCTGGAAACTTGTTGGCCATTTCTGGGACATGTCCAGGCTGAATTAAGGCTTTGGATGCATGGCAGTTGTCAAGAGGAAATTTTGATTCATTCAGACAACACCCTGATGAGCATCCATTGATGTCATTTAAGTTTAATTCATCCTCAATCTGTCCAGCATGAAATTCCGTAGAAGTAAACTCCAAGCAGATCATTCTTTCTTTGGTACACAGGCCTTTCTGATTTGCATCTTGTGGGACCACATGTTCCACAAAGACAGGAGGTATGGGTGGGTGACTCTCCATGGTCTTCACCTCAGCAATCTGGTCTGCTGAGGTGGTGATCTCCTTCTTGTTGAGTTCTAGCCCAGGTTTGCAGATGGGTTCGTGGTGGTCTGAGAGGTCACTATCTGAATGAGATCTCCATAGTTTATTATGCCGCTGTTTGCTGTGGAGGACATACACAGGAAATATCTTAATCTGGTTTGTAAAGATAATCAACACCCTCCCAGGAAAACACTCCCAGATAAATCTTAACTTGTAAAAATGCTTTGTTATTGCTCAGTGGACTAGGCAATTAACGTTTGAAAAGACACTCAATTTAATAGCAAAAAACAAAGCAAAACAACAACAAATGAGTGTGAGATTTTTTTTTACCTATCAGTCTGACAGGAATTAAAATGGTCGGTAATAGCCAGTGTTGATGATGGTATGGCTAAACAAGCCCTCTCATACACTGGTAGGAGTGTGAATTCAGAATTTTTGTTTTTTGTTTTTTTTTTCAGACGGAGTCTCGCTTTGTTGCCTATGCTGCAGTGCAGTGGCATAATCTCAGCTAACTGCAACCTCTGCCTCCCAGGTTCAAGCAATTCTCCCACCTCAGCCTCCCGAGTAGCTGGGATTACAAGAACATGCCACCACGCCTGGCTAATTTTTGTATCTTTAGTAGAGACGGGGTTTCGCCATGTTGACCAGGCTGGTCTTGAACTTCTGACCTCAAGTGATCTGCCCACATTGGCCCCCCACCACACCCAGCTGAACTGTAGATTTTAAAGACTGAAATCTGGCAATAGCTCTCCAAATTTAACATTTTCACCAACATTTCTTCCTTAATAAATTTTTCTTGGAGGAATGCTATTACAAGTGCATATAGATATCCATATGGCCAGGTGAGGTGGCTCACACCAGTAATCCCAGCACTTTTTAGGAGGCCGAGGCGGGTGGATTGCTTGAGCCCAGGAGTTCGAGACCAGCCTGGGAAACATGGTAAAACTCCATCTCTACAAAAATATAAAAAACTATCCAGGTGTGGTGGCATATGACTGTAGTCTTAGCTACTCAGGGGGCTGAGGCGGGAGGATTGCTTGAGCCCAGGAGGGTGAGGCTGCAGTGAGATTGCGCCACTGCACCCAGCCTGGGTGACTGAGCAAGACCTTGTCTCAAAAAAAAATAAATAAAGAAAGAAAGATAAAGAAAGATATTTACTGGCTGGCTGCCGTGGCTCATGCCTGCAATCCCAGCACTTTGGTAGGCTGAGGCGGGCGGATCGCTTGAGGTCAGGAGTTTGAGACCAGCCTGGCCAACATGGTGAAACCCCGTCGCTACTAAAAATACAAAGATTAGCTGGGCGTAGTAGCGGGTACCTATAATCCCAGCTACTCGGGAGGCTGAGACAGGAGAATTCCTTGAACCTGGGAGGCAGAGGTTGCAGTGGGCCGAGATTGCACCAATGCACTCTAGCCTGGGTGCCAGAGCGAAACTCCATCTCAAATAAACAAACAAACAAAAAAAGATATTTACTATGACACTATTTGTGATACTAAAAGATGAGACACCAAACAACAACAACAACAAAGGATTTACATTATAATCCATACAACTATATGCTGTGAAGCTGTTAAAAACTGTCAGGTCTACAGAAGTCTTCTGTGATAAGAAAAAAAAAAAAAAATTAAAAGGGAAAAAAAACCTGTCAGGTATTTTAGTGGAGTGATATACAAGGTATACTATTAAGTAAAAAAGAACCTCAAACACATTTGAAATTAGTGTCTATATTAGAATAATATACTCTTAAATAATATACACTCTTAAATAATATACACTCTTAAACAGTTCCCAAAACCCCAGCCAAAAAGAGAAAGGTGGCCCTGTGGATGGTCAGGTTCATCTGCCCAGGAAACAGGTCACTAAGTGTGGTCCTTGGGGGTGTGGTCTCCATGACTTACAAGCTGATGAGGAGTTACCAAACCGCAGGGTGGAATGGGAAACTCAGCCCAAAACAACTTGCCCTGGGCTCTGGGCCATGCCTGGGCTCTGCCGAGTCATGCTCAGGCGCCTGCACTAATGTGACCCCCTGTTTGTTCTCAACTCTGCACCTGCTCACAGCTCCCCCTCCCTGTCTGCTGCTTGGGTGGGGCTCTCTCTGACTCATGCCTGCACAGCAGAGGGGTGCTTTCCTGGGAAGGAGTAGGTCAATCTTTTTATGAAGACAAGCTGTAATCAATCAGCTGGGTATAAGATGGGGTTTTCACCCTTCCCAAGCTGCATGAGCTCCAGCCACCCCTAGGAGGAGACAACATAACACGTATCTCAAACAAGTGAGTGGCTATGGGGAGGGAGGGGAAAGCTGTTTGGATAGGTGGGGCCTAAGTTGTACATTATGACCAACTGAGGCCAGTGGTTTCTTCAGTTTCTTCTCCTATATGCGGCATCCTTGTTTCGTGAAATAAATATGACTCTATTCTCCAATTTCTATCCCTCACCTATCATGAGGATGTTCAAACCTGCACCAGCTTCTCTCACCCACCACGGTAGGACAATGCCTGGGATGCAAATGCCTGGGGAGACCTCTCAAGGGGTGGCTGTTCTCACTCTTCTAATAATAGAACAGGCAAATGAGAAGTTTCATGATCCCAAGAACCCTCCAAAGTATGTTTTTGTGTGTGTGTGTGTGTTGTTTTTGTTTTTTTGAGATGGAGTCTCGCTCTGTCACCCAGGCTGGAGTGCAGTGCCGTGATCTTGGCTCACTGCAAGCTCCGCCTCCCGGGTTCATGTCATTCTCCTGCCTCAGCCTCCCAAGTAGCTGGGACTACAGGCGCCCACCATCACGCCCGGCTAATTTTTTGTATTTTTAGTAGAGATGGGGTTTCACTGTGTTAGCCAGGATGGTTTCCATCTCCTTACCTCGTGATCTGCCCGCCTCGGCCTCCCAAAGTGCTGGGATTACAGGCGTGAGCCACCGCGCCTGGCCCCTCCAAAGCATGTTTTTAAAATTGCCTGCAGATTACTAATCAGTCAGGAGAGAATGAGAGACTGATTATGCTAATAGGAAGCAACAGTGCATGTTTCAGAGGAAGTCTGACATTGCAGCTGTGTAACCAGCATGGATTTCCTTCTCTTCCTTTGGGAGATAATCATTAGAAAATACTGGGTTGGGGCTCTGGAATTAAACTGACACTTGTAAAAGAGAGAGTGAAAAAAAAGCCAATCTAAAGATAGGTCTGATGCTGCTGCCTTGTTTTCATTTTTGTAACAGGACCTGGAGGGAGAATGGCAAGCAGCTGATTCATCTCCGTTGCCTGTGAAACGCTGCTACTCCACGTGTAGCTTCTCACTCGGGGTCCCCTCCTCACTCCTCCCCACTCAGGCGTAACCTCCATTCTGAATTTTGTGCTTATCATTCCCTTTTTTTTCTTTATAGTGTCTACATGGTTTGTTCTTAATACTGCTTTGTTTTGCATGTCTTGAACTTTATTTAAACGGTATCCCACTGTATGTATTCTTCCTCAATGGATTTTTTTTTAAAGATTCATCACTGTGTATAAAGGTAATCCACAGAGTGTAATGAGTATGCCACAACTTATTTCCCTTCTGTTGGTTCAAGCAATTATCCTGCCTCAGCCTCCAGAGTAGTTGGAATTATAGGCATGCGCCACCATGCCTGGCTAATTTTTGTATTTTTAGTAGACACGGGGTATCACCATCTTGGACCAGGCTGGTCTCAAACTCCTGACCTCAAGTATCTGCCTACCTCGGCCTCCCAAAGTGTTGGCATTACAGGCATGAGCCACCACGCCTGGACTCATCATGTTTTAGTTGGTTACACTAAACTGTTTTCCAATGAAGCTTTGTCCTGAGACAGTTTATTCTAACATTTCATCACTGGTAGGAATAGATGTAATATATTAAGATCATATCTATTATTTTAAACTGTTAAATTTTAAACTCAGTCGACTCCCCACCTCCCACCCCCTTCCAGGCAGGCAGCAAATAAACAGCTTGCCAAAAAGGAACTTCAGAGTTGGTCTATATCCTGGATGATATAACCAAGTCTCAGATCCTTTTCCCCCTTGAGTGGCCTGTGACCTGAATTTGGATTCATATAAAGACAGAGACATACATAAGGTGATTAGGTCATTCTGGGAAAGAATTGGCCTTTTACCTAGGTTAATGTACAAGAGGAAATTTTATCTTTATTTTTACATATTTTTAAGTTGTCAGCCTTATGTAGGGGCCATGCCAATCTTCTCTGTATAGTTCCAATTTTAGTATTTGTGCTGCCCAAGTGAGCACAAGAAGAAGGAAATTTAAATGACAGATGCATAAGGTGTCCCATCATCTTGCTTCCACTTTCATATTGTTACATGTTTGGTGAAACATCAACTCTGAGAAAGTTATATAAAGGAAAAGGCTGCTAAAAATGGAGTACTTGCGCCTGTAATGTGGCTATTCAGGAGGCTAAAGCATGATGATCACTTTGATCACTTGAGCCTAGGAGTTGAGTGAGACTAGCCTGGGCAATATAGACATTGTCTCTTTAAAAAAAAAAAAAAAAAAAAAAAAAAAGAGGGCCAGGAGTTATAGTAAAATCAGGCTGTCTGTCTATAGTTACTTTTTAGGGTGTTAGGCAGCCTGTATAAAGGAAGAGAAAAAGCATTATCTGAATATTTTTTTGTGTGTGATGTGCATCACCCAAGATGCTTTAAGATTATTTAACTGGAAAGCTAGTAAGAAAATCCTTTTAAATCTCAATTGCTGTTGGCTGACCAGGAGTCCACATCTTTCCTTCTCAGGCTGCCTGCTGCCAGCTGACCAATGTGTACCAGCTAACTAGACCTCAATGTCTCCACCAGCAAAGTCAGGGTAAAAGACAACCCTGCCTCCTCTGGCCCTTGTGACGGGGCACTCAAAAGAATCAAAACTGACATTTCTGAGGAAACGTGGCACAGACTCTCCCTGGTCACCACCCAGTTTTTCTTCCTTGCCCCCTATACACTGAAACCTAATACCACAGACACACGGTCCAGCTTGCAAATGGTCTGCTTGAAATCTAAACCTGTCTAATGGAACATAAATCTGCCAGATACCTGCAGGATCAGAGTGCAGAATAACAAACAGGGCTGCTAGCAGTTTAATGGAGTTTCAAAACACAGACACACCCCACCTCCC